GCCCCCCCCTCCCCGCCCCTGCCCCAGGGGGCTCTGATGGCCTCACACACACAGCCTGGAAAGGAAAGTCACCAACTGGGCCTGGAGGAACAGCCATCCCAGGAGTGGGGAGTGGTTTTGCCCGAGTCCCCTTAGTGGTCCAGGGAGGGAAGGTGGACGGGTCCCAGCAGGAGTGCAGGCACTGTCGGGCCGGGGTAGGAGGAGCAGGTGGCGGCCACCCAAGTATGACCGCCAGCCACTGTGCCAGGGGCCATGTCTCCGCCAACCCCTGCTTCTGCCCCGTCACAGCAAACCTCAGCAGTGTTCGGTCTTGTCCCCTGCCCTGTTCATTCCATTCCCACACTGTGCGCGCTCCAAGTCAGGCTGACCCTGTGTTCCCGGCGCCCAGCACGGGGCCCAGCCCAGACATTCAGTGGATGTTTGGGACAAGCCAGAGGGGTGAGCACTAAGGTAGAACAGGGATCTGGCTGTGTCCCCGTCAGCAGGGCCACATCCAGTCACGGGCTTGCCCGGTGAAGAATCAAGGGGCATAGCTACCCTGGTGGGGGCTGGGCCGGGGTGGAGGGAAGGCGCCCAGGGGCTGGGAGGACCACAGTCAGTCACGGCGCTTCTGTCCTTCCCTAGGGTCGGTGGAGAGAGCAGATTGGTCCTGGCTTTTGGAGTTGGGGTTGCAGCGGGGCTTGGGATACACAGATGAAGTCCCGCCCCTAGAGCTCAGTCCGGTGGCGGGACAGAGGATGAATGACGAAAACGAATGACAGATGCCAGGTGTCAGGGGGGACCTCCTGAAGACAGGACGTTTCAGCTGAGACCCAAGAAGGAGCCACCTCACAGAATGGGAACAGAATGTCAGGCAGAAGGCTGACAAAGGCCTGTGGGTTGAAAACTCCCAGTGCAGTGACAGCAAGGGGGGGGGGGGGTGTTTGAGTCCTTGAAGAGCATGTGGAGCCCAAGGGGGTGACAAGGACCCCCCGCACTTCGGGGACTGCTTGGACAGAAGCCTGGGCACCCCTTCTCACCCCTCTTGAGTCAGTAATCTGGATGCAGCTAAACCCTCTAACTGGGCAGGGCTGGACAGGTCTGGGGAGCAGTTGGCCCAGAACATTCCTTCCAGAAGATGGCGCCTCCATCATCATCACCTTCATGGCAGCTGGCACGTTCTGAGTGGCCTAGGTGCCTTCCTCCATTGGTCCTCACAGCCACCGGGTGGTGAGGAGACAGGCACAGGTGTTGAGGGACCTGCCTGAGACTCACAACCGGGAGCAGCAGGACTCACGCCCACTCACCACCTCTGGGGGTCCTCACTCTGGAGGCAAGGTCTAGGCCGCTGCCTTCAGCCTTGCCCAGAGCAAGGAGCCCTCTCACCTCCACCTTAGCCCCCGGCAGGAACCCGCAGGCCTGCCATTTGTGAGTCCCCAGCCTCCCTGGTTCCAGCAGGTGACTGGACCTGTTACGAGAGCGCTGGGCCCAGGAGAGCCGCATCGCCAAAATCCTTTCTGTCTGAGGCTCCCCTCCACCTGGGGCCCCCCCCAGGGCAGCGCTCTGGCTGCAGAACAGTGACGTAAAACCACAAAGCCCAGGGTTTCCTGAAAGCCTGCAGGAGCCCCAGGGCCCCTTCCCTCTCCCCACCTGGTGACAGCAGAAACAGATCACCCTGGACAGGGTCCGGTGTAGGGATCTCCAGTACCCTTCTGGTGCTCTAAACAGTCAGGAGACCTCCCTGGTGAGGCATGGACTTCAGAAGGTTCCAGGGGGCCTGAAGTCCCTCAGGGAACCCGGCTCATGCCTGTACTGCAGACCCCCCGCCCATGAGTACTGTCCTCCTAAGACTCACTATGTTTTCCCTAGACCTGCTGGCCTGGAACTTCTGGAATTCTCAATCATCTTGGGAAGGTCCCATGCCAGCCGCACCCATACTCCGGGGGTTTCTGTCTACTTGCTGTTTGCCCGACCCCTCAGCGGCCTGTCACCACACAGGGGGAAAGAGAGGGCATGCCTGAGGCCCGTCCCCGCGCTGCCCTCTGGCAGAATGCTGCTTCAGCTCCCTTCTCGAATTCCATCCCTATATCAGCCCCTTGGCTGTTGCAGACAGGAAACAGGTTCAGAGGGTCTGAGTGACCAGCCTGGCTGGCCCTGTGAGTGGCAGCAGTGTGTCTGACCCAACCCTAGGGTCTCCCTCCCGCTCCCCACCACGCCACCCTGCCTCGGTACCCGCCTGGCCTCTCCCTGCCGGGGCCCATCTTGCCCTCCCCTGACCCGGTACCTGCCTCGGGTCCCCGAGGTGGCACACCACAGGTGAGGCACAGTGTCCCGTTCCAGCTGCCACGACCCGTGCCGGGCCGCTGTGGCTCGATGACAGCGGTTTCCTCGCTGGAGGCTGTCTCCTGCCCCCAGGCTGAGCACAAGCGGCAGTTAGGTGGCCATGTCCCGGGGACAGCCAAACTTGGCCCGGCCTCAGCTCTGGCCTTCACCTGGGCAGGTTTCCCGGCCCCACCTCTCCCCAGCTGGGTCACCTCGCTCGGGGCTCCAGTCCCCTCATCTGTACAAGGTAGAAACAGGTGGCCCAGGGGCAGTGAGGGCAGCCCCACCCCGCTGGAGCTGCTCTAAAGTGCCGGGTGCCGGGGCACATGGGTGCCGGGGCGTGGGCGCGCTCTCAGTTCCCACCTTACTTACAGGGTGAGGGGTCTGGTAAACCACGTGCCTGTCTCCTCTTGGAGCCTCGCCTGCTCCCTCTGGGTGGCAGGTCACCCTGAACGGTTCCCATACTCCCAAGGCACTGCTGGGCATTTTTGGCAGGGCACTGATGGGCAGTGGAGGAGTGCGGTACAGGTGGAAAAGGCTGGACGTGCTCTCTACCAGGGGGAACCCGGTGTCCCAAACCCAGTGTGGGCATCGGGGGGCCAGAAGCGGAGCCTGAATCCTGACTGTGCCCCAGAAACCCTGCACCGTTCACCTGCGAGTGGGCTCAGTACTCAACAGCCCGTGGCCCGGATGAGACACTGGGGGCCCAGAGGAGACCAACTGTCCAGCCTGGCCCCGGGCCCAAGTCCAGCACTGCAAGGCGTTCATTCCTGGCGGTGGGGATGACCCTCTCCGGGCTCCTTCTGAAGAGGGTGAAGACAGAAATCAGAGCCTGGCCGAGAAGAGCTCTGGGGGACTCCTCCTCCTTCACACCCAGCCTAGCCCTTGCCTCCCCTGGGGAGCTGCCCTCAAGCCCAGCAAACTCAGAAGCCCGCCATCAGCCTGCAGAGAAACGTCCCGTCGGCCGGCCGTGCGGGCTGAGAGGGCCTGAGTCCCGCTCTCGGTGCCTGACAGTGAACGTCAGCTGAGAGGATGCCAGTGTGGGAGGACCGCCCTGTCATCTCCGCGGTGCGGGCCGGCTGGGTGGGGCAGGGGTGGGTCCTGGGCGCCAGGAGGGGGAAGGAATGAGAAAAAGAGAAGCACAGGGTCCAGCCAGGGTGAGGCCAAGGAAGCAGGGGGCAGGGGAGGGGGCACGAGCCTGTAACGACTCATTGGGCAGATCATTAACACGCACGGAGCAGCCAATTAGAGGAAAGTCAAAAACCCAGCTTCTTCTAATCCATGAACAGAACATGGTGCCAGTCTTTCCACAAAGTTCACTGACCCAGACCCCACGCAGGCTCATTGCTCACACCCCTGTGGGGCCTGCTGAGGCTCCTGCACTTCTGCCTTGCGGCTCCCTGCCCAGCTCCTGGCCTCTCAGCCTCCGAGACCCAAATAACCCACCCACTGGGGGAGAGCAGACAAGCCCGGGAGGCAGGGGCGGTGAGCGGCTCTGCCCGCCTCCTCCCCTGCCACGTCTGTGGATTGGCCATCACCATGAGAAATTGGCCATCACCATGAGAGGCCCGGAGGCTGGGGCTGGCCTCCCCGAGAAAGGAAACTCCCTCGAAGGCCCGGAGATGCTGCTCAAGAGTCCCCAGCCC